TGAAACAAAATTTTATACCGATTTTTAATTGAAAATTAGGGGTGCGCGTTATACACGTGTGCGCGTTATACTCGAATAAATACGGGTAATTTGATAAAACAGAACTTTGTGTTCTAAGTTCATCATGAACTAAGTCTGATGAAAATAACCAACTATTTTGACAGGGATGAATTAATAGCATGCATTTTGGGTTATAGGAGCATCATATTCACTTGAACCAATTTGATCATATCTTTAAAATGGTATGTACAAGTCATCAATAATGTGGTTGCTAATATAGGTAAGTTCAGCTTATGAGCTGTTTGTATTTAAGGAGATGCTCACAACAAATTCTAGTTTATTTGGTGAATGCCTGAAAGATGCATTACTTCATCTAAGCCAAAAACAGATGAAAAAAACTAAAGGCAATTATGAATTAAACTTGGCTCAAATCTTTAAGATGCAGCATTAGTAAGAATGTCCCAAGGGTGAAATTACAAACCATCTGCAATAAATTCAGTGTTCTTATTCTGGCAAGAACACTTGATAGTAAATCAGATACATCTCTGCTGAAACACTGGTTATTTCAAATGGAAAAGGTGATAGGTATTCCCCAAACAAACCAGGTTTAAATGTTTGAAAGTACATTCATGTTTTGTAAGATATGATTAGCAGCAATAATAAATCTAATTATGCTATGCATATTTATGTTAGCCAAACCCTGGAGCAATAGTAGAAATCTTCTATAACAATGGCAAGCCCTTTAAGATATTTCCAAAGAAACAATGGAACTCTTGGCAGAAGCACTGGAAATATAACTTAAGTTATATGTAAAAAAAATAGCAAAGTATGAATGTCAGCTTTCATGTATTTCTTCAATTTAAATCTGCACTACTAAAAAAACTAGGAAACTTAAAAAAAACATAATTGCAGGACTGATTTTTTGATTATTTTTTAATTTTTAGTGTAAAAGTGTGACCCCAAATTTAAAAATGAAAAAAATCACTAATTATTTCTCAACCACCGGTCCTGCTAATAAAAAGGCCAGAATATTAACAGACACAACAACAGAACACACAGAAATAACGACGCCTGTTGATATTTCTGAATCTGTTCTTGAGAAGCAAAGCCAAACTACAAATGACTGGCCGGACTGCTGGACCTATGATAAAAAAAAAGATTTTTGCTTGAAAAATGAATGGCTCTGTGTTTGCAAAATGAAACTTGGCTGTACGCCTTGTAGAAAAGTTGGAACTCTTGGAGTTGAAACAAAAATGGGAATGAAACTTTCCAAAGAATGGATCAACAATGAGATAATCTATTCTGGCAAAGATAGGAAGCAACAGTTGAGCTCACTTTGAAAAAAATTTTTTGATCACAGAGAATCTGCTGCACATAAAGCAGCATTAAAAATAGTTGCTGAAAACGAAAAAAATGACTCTTGAGAATGTTTTTTAACGTCATTATCTCACGAAAAAATAACTGCAAAATTTTTTGAACTGCATATAAAATAGCAAAGGAAAATCAATCATTCCATCATTTTGAAACTGAAATTGATCTGCAAGAACAGAACGGAGTTGAAATGGGTCATATTCTTCATTCTACAAATGTGTGTATTAACGTTAATCATGTAAGTGAAGAAATGAGGAAAACTGTGGTTAAAGAACTTGTTCAATCCAATAATAAAATTTCATTGATAATTGATGAATCAATCACAATAAGCAAAAAGACCTACGCTCATAGTGTATGTTTGATGCTATATCAAAGGTGTTAGAATGAATTCACCGGTAAATTTGTTTTTGGACTTGGTAGAACTTGAAAAAGTAACGGCAGAAGGAGTATTTGATTCCTTAACTTCAATGTCTTCATTCTTATGGGATGACAGAAGATTATTTAAAAAAATATTTGGTTTCTCTGGCGTGCGACGGCGCTGCTGTGATGATAGGATGTAAAAGTGGAGTGAAAAAATTGCTGTCAGAACGTTTTCCTTCTATTATAGTTTGGCACTGTGCTAATCACAGACTAGAATTATCAATAGGTGATGCTGCCAAGGAAACTTCAGGAATAAATAGATTCAAATCATTTATTGATAAACTTTATGTCATATACCATTCTTTGGCAAAGAATAGTAGAGAGTTGTATTTATGTGCAGAATTGCTGGGGGCCGAGCTGCTGAAAATTGGAAGAATTTTAAGTACCCGATGGGTGTCTCTAGTTTGCATACAGTTTTGGCTGTGTGGAATAATTTTGAATCCCTTGTGTATCATTTTGAAGAAGCAATGCATGATCCTACAAGGGATAAAAATGATAAATGCACTTATGATGGCTTGAAAAGAAAAATAACATCTACAGAATTTTTATTAGACCTAGGATTGATGTGTGACGCTCTCCAAGAATTATCAGAATTAAGTTTGGACCTACAGGACCGCAACATGGATCTGTACAAGACAAATAAGAAAATAAAAATACTGGTACAAGTTTTTGAAGAAAGAAGACAGAACTTTGGGGCCTATTATAAATGCTCTGTTGCTGCTGTACTTTGCTTTTGTGAAGTTTTACTTCATGGAAAACATTCAAGAAAGGATCCTCCCATTGACCCAAGTATATTTTATACAAAATTGAAATAATTGAAAAAAGATTGCTTGATAGCAAAGACGATGAGTTGGCATATTCGTCTCGTGTACTTGATCAAAAACATTGGCCTGAAGATGTTAATACTCAACTGACATTTGGAGAAGTGGAAATTAGAAACTTGTCAATCAGACTACAACTAAATGAAAGAGAAATGATTCGTAAATTCTGTGAATACATTCTTGAAAAGACATATCCAGAAAATCTGTTGCATTTGATACGGACTCTGAATACTATTCAAGTGAATGTGAACGTGGGTTTTCGCAGATGAATCTAATTGCCACCCCAACAAGAGCTTTGTTAAAGACTAAGACACTTTCAGCAGTTTTGTTCATCAAACTTGTTGGACTGCCTCTGTGGTTACTCAGAGGATGACATTCGGCCATAGATATTAACAGCAAGGAAAGGAGTCGAGAAAATTTGCAGGATGAGAATTGGACAAAACTTTGGAATTTACTATGAACATTTGCCTTAAATACAATAAATTAAATTTATGTTAAGAACTGAATATATAAATATATATAAATAAATATATAAATAAAATTATATAAATAAAACATTAACAAAATGTGAGTTCCGGCACCTTTTTTTTTTTTTTTTTTTACAAAAACACTGGAAATATTTATATTAAAATTTTCTTCCACTATCTTAATACTTCCTCTATGGAATAAATATTACTTTGAAATTGTAGGCATCAGTTATTTGGTTCATTCTCCAAATCATACTGTCATTTTCCATTTCAGCTAGAGTGCTGCATAAAATAGAGTATTTCAATTTCACATTCTGCTAGTTCTTTTCATTATGTTTGGAGATAAATAAAGAGCTCATCCCTAAAATATTCTGCTGAGGAGCAGATATGTATAATCCTTCTCCGTGTACAATATGCCTTATCTGCTGCTTAATTTTTAATTGGATTTCAAAAAATGCAGATTATTGTGCCTTGGAGAGGAAATAGAGCAGAGGAATGCATATTAGTCTCATCTCCGGTATATATGATCTTTAAATTATTCCTTATCAGGAGTCAACTCAATACACTTCCTTCAAATTCTGTTAATCTATGTGCTGAGAGATCTTTCACAACATTAAATCTCTCCATATTATTCTGTTATATAGTAAATATGTAATTAATAAACTTTTAAAATGGGTGTCAAACTCAATTTCATTGAGGGCTGCATCAACATTGCGGTTGCCCTCGGGGGGGGGTTGGTGTGGCCAGGGTGGGTGCGGCCTACTAGGTGGGCATGGATGGAGTGGGCGTGGCCAGCTTTACATCGTTCGTGTCAAGGGTGCCTATGGGGGCCTGGGCAGGAGCGGGACAGATCTGAGGGTCTCTGGCAGAAGGGCAAGTGCCAATGCATGGTCCACTGGAGGAGCCTCACCATTCCTCTCAGGCCATGCGGGGGGGCTGGATGGTGGTGCGGGCTGCCTGGAGCCCTGGGCAGCAGAGGTCAAATGCCCAGCCTGGCCCTTGAGCACCCGCGGCACCAAGCCCAGCCCCACTTCCCCAAGGGGGTGCCCAGCTGACTTACCTCCTCCTCAAGGCTGCTGCTGCTGTGCTTGCTCTCCTTAGCCACGTTGCTCATGATCGGTACGAGGGCAAAGTCAGAGGGAGGCCCATTCCCTCTCCATGGGAGGAGACCCGGCTTTGTATCCAAGCTTCCTTAGCAATAGGATGGGAGACCTCCATGATAGGCCAGGAGGAGGGGGCAAGGGGATGGTGAAAAGGCAGCAGGCAGGACTAAGGCAGGACTTCCCTCAGACCCTCCCTCTCCTTTCCTTCTTTCCTTCCTAAGTACAGAGTGGTGGGAAAATATTTGAGATGAGGGAGGGAGAAAAACAGGCAAGAAACACAGCTGGGGAGGTGTCACCCTTCGTGAGGAATGAAGAAATGCACCATCGCCTGGAAGTGGCCAGCACATGGCTCTCACCTACTTCACATATCTGGCTTGGTGGGCTTTGGGGGAGGGGATGCCATGAGCAGCGTGAGAGTCAACATTACCTGCGCAATGCTGCCCAGCCCCCAGCCTGCCTAGTTTTGGCAGGAAGCGGGGTGCTCTCCTCACAGCGCCGAGAAGTTGAGCCAGGCGATGCGAAGCTCGCCAGCTTTCCACCTTGCTGCCTGCTGAAACTGAGCAGGCTGGGGGCTAGGCAGCATTGCACTTCTCATCAGTTTCGCACCACCCGGCTCAGTTCTTAGCGCTGTGAGGAGAGTTCCCCGCTGCCTGCCAAAACCCCTCCCCTGGAGCCCATCAAGCCGGATAAGTGAAGTAGGCGAGGGCCATTTGCTGGCTACTTCCAGGTGATGGTGCATTTCTTCATTCCTCACAAAGAGTGACACTCCCCAGCATCCACCCAGGGGGTGGGGTCGATGCGGCAGGGGCTGTTTCCTCGCTGTTTCCAGATGGCCTTGTGGAGCTAAGACTGAATGCGTTTCAGCATAGATGTCCACCACAAAATTGTACATTGGCTCCCAGCCAGCCTGGGCCAGGGCCATTCTCTCACTGTTTCCAGGATGGTTTCGCGGGCCACATGAAACCACTTCGCAGTCCGCATCCGGCTCCTGGGCCTTGTGTTTGACATGTCTGTTTTAAAAGAAACTTATTTAATCCAATTGTAGGCATTAAGAGCTTCTTTAACTATTTTATGCTTATCAGTTTCATTGGATAAAAAGATTTAATTTTGTAAATATTACTTTTCAATAGTTCTCATAACTAATATTTCTAGAAATATACATTTTACTATGCTCTAGAATTCTTAGTCTCTTATTTAAGTTCCTAATTTTTTAGTTGAATTTTCTGAATGCATGCCTATCATATTTATTGCCCTTATATCCAGGAATTTTGCCTTAGTTTTGTACCTATATTGCAGCCATCACAATATTTGCCTCAAATTCATTTGAGTTGTATGCCATTGAATTTAAGCAAACTTTGGTGGTTGTAAACCATAATCATAACAATTCAATAAAATAGAAATGGTAACAATTAAAATACAAACAATGGTATAAATAAACTACATGGAACAATAAGAAGATATACAAAATCAGAGGAAGTTGGTGTCCCATTAGTCTTTAGAAGAAATGTCTACTATTTTAAGCTCACAGCCATAACACTCAAATCAAAATATATCCCTCAACCTGAAAAAAAAAGTGCTTTAAGGGGATGGGGTTTAAATAAGAATCTAAATCAGTGATGGCGAACCTTTTAGAGATCGAGTGCCCAAACTGCAACCCAAAACCCACTTATGCATCGTTGAGTGCTGGGTGGGTGTGGCCCATTGGCTGGGTGTGGCCCATTGGCTCAATTTCAACTTTGCAAGATGTTTTTTTTTCTCGCAAGATGTTGAAATTGACTGATTGAACCTTTTTTTTTTTTTTGCACACAGCGGCGGAGGCCTAAAGTGAAAAGGTTTTATAAAACACAGCTGAAGGCCTAGGACTGGGGCGATGGCATGCGTGCCCACAGAGAGGGCTCTGAGTGCCACCTCTGGCACCCGTGCCATAGGTTCACCACCACTGATCTAAATAATACCCTGTTTTTTTCAGCAGCTATACTTTTTGAAGTGTAAGATAATGTTAAAATATGCTTCAAAATTAATGAGAAATTAACAATCATTGGCAATATTTTAAAGTGATCACAACTTCTGGTTAAACGTAATATGCCCTTTACCTTTTACCTATTTACAGATGTTTTATACTAAAATGTATTGAGAAGTCCTGAGGAACACAATATTAGGCTCCAGATTTTACCTTCTAGCAAAGGATAATGTGACGGTCAGATATCACAAACATATGTGTGTTGACTTTTCTGCATAGTGAAAGCTTTGGCTGCCTCACATTCTTTTCACATGGAGTCACCTGCTTGGATACAACAGCCTTCTAAAAGTTGGGTTTTATAGAACGATCCGCTTGAACCTCTCTAATGCATTAGGATGCAATCTAGCCATTGGAAAAGTGAATGTACTATAGAAGCTGTATTTGCCTAGCATGCAGTTACTCAGGATTTTAAATTGAAAAGACGCCTTTTTCCATATTTTATCTTTTTGCAGGGTCGCGTAGGGAAAAAAAGAACTATAAGGTGACTTTTTCCCAGGAAGAACTGAGAAAGCGGTTGACACCCTTGCAGTACCATGTTACTCAGGAGAAAGGAACTGAAAGGTATGGCAAGGGGGTAGGTGGTAATCAGAAACAAGGGGATGCTCCTTCTGTTTCACTATGTTGTAATTTTCTCTCAAGTGGTTTCAAGTAATTCTGTTTTAGTTTATTCTGAATAAACTGAAAAGCCAAAAAATTGTAGCATGGGCACTAAGTTCAGCAATTTGATCAATGTAACTTGGTTATCGTGACTTTATGTTTATTGTCTGCTTTTACTTTACTACAACTAGCACAGGTCATTTTGTGCAACTAGCACAGGCATTTTTTGTTTTGGGGAAGGAGATTTGAATTATAATGGAAATAATTTTTTATTAAAACAAGTTTTATTAATTTTCCATTTTTACAAACTTTCGGGTATTTAAGGAAGCAACATGGTGGTTGGGTAATACATAGTCCAATAACACGCTTATCCATACATACAGTATATCAGTTTACATCATCAAAAATTTCCTCTCTGTTTCCCTTAGTCATTATACCAAATTCAAATTAGTAGGTTGCTAGTTATAACTCAATCATTTAAAACATTTATAAACAACTTTTAGATTATATATCTCCAAATCCTGTTTTTAACTTTTGTCTGGTTTCAATTAAAATATTCCAGTTGGCTTACTGTCCAATAATGTTTAAGTTTCGGATAGCCCACGGTTCCCTTAATTCATACAAAATAATATCATATCTAAAATACATTTATTATTTATTCCGGTAAATTCTTAATTTATTTCACCATCATATTCTAATTCTCATTTTAATATCATCGCTTACTCATAAAATAATCTTTATCCTCTAAATCCATCTTCTATTTATAATTCAAAACAATTATTTAAGTAACTAATTTATTTCCCTTATAGATATAGAACCTAACTATTAAATCAGACATGTCCAAAGTCCGGCCCGCAGGCCATTTGCGGCCCGCGGCCCGGTTTAATCCGGCCCTCGAACAGCCCTCCCTGCTCTATGTAAATCCGGCCCTCCCACGGCCCTCCGGCAAGTCCCATGAGAGAGAGAGAGAGAGAGAGACAGAGACAGAGACAGAGGCACTTGCACTTGCACTTCTGTCTCTCTCTCTCTCTCTCTCTCATGGGACTTGCCCCCTCGCAGGGCTCCTCATTGGCCCTGCGCCCGGGTGTCCCGCCCCCTGGGAGAAGGGCGGCCAGGAAGTCCCTTTCCCGGGCTGGCCCCGTCCCAGGCGCATGTGGCTGGGGAGCCATGCGGGGAAGCCCCGGGATCCCCGCTGGGAGCAACCCCCCGGAGCCTTTGCTGAGTGGGCCAGCCCTCTCGTAAGCCGCAGCCCCGAGAGAGCAGCCCCTGCGATGTCCAGCCGGCGCAACCATTGGCCAAGCAGCAGCAGAGCCGGAGATGGAAGGTCAGTGGCAGGGGGGGAGGGAGGGAGCTCTCAGTCCGCAGAGCACCGCCGCGAAGT